GTCGTCCGAAGAGTGGTAAGCAACGAAGTTCAACTCGGGCAGTGAGTAACGTTCCGGTACAGGAACCACAAATTACAAGAACTGACCCGAAGAAACGGAACTTCGGAGCGTTACGGACCGGAGACTCGGGAAAGGGCCCGAGGAAATCGGACCAAAAGAGTTCTGAACCGGTAAAATCTGGTAAGAACGTAATTCCTCCGGAGGAAAACATTGGTCACCCGAAGGAAACCTCCGGAGTGAGGAGTTGTCCGGTGAAAACCGTCGAGCCTCCGGAGAGACGCCGGAGAAATCGCCGAGGCCGCCCGAGAAAACCCATTGAAAACGACGTTCCGGTAAAGGAACCACAGTTCGTGACAATGGACCGGGTAAATGGTTCAGTGATGGAAACGGGTTTCGACCAGCGGGACAACAGGTCGGGAAAATCGTTTAGGATTGAAAGTGTTCCGGACAAAAGTGAAAATCTCACCGAGGTGAGGGATCTTTCCAATAAAAATGTCGCGGACAGCATTTCAAGTGATGCGGAACAAGATGAGTTAACACAGGAGTTGTTAATTTGTCCGGTCACATCCTAAAATTTTTCCGAGGAGTTTATTCCTTATCCAAAAGTGCAAGAGGAGAAACTCAGATACAGACTCAAAGTTCGAGTTGAGAGAACGCTTTTGGGGTCTACGGACCGGAGTGTTAGAGTCTCCAGCCATTGCAACGGTGTCAACGGGGAAAACTACAGTAACGGATGTTCCGTTACCGGCCATAGAACTAGAGTTTGCACTCGGGGCAGTAGTAGCGCTACTGGACTCCCAAGCGGCGAGGACATACGTCAAACCGTGGGTGGCAAAGAAGTTTGGCCGGAGTTTTACCGAAGAACCGGAGATTGTCCGGATGGCGGACGGTCGGACCCGAGAAATTACGGAGTTTTCCGAATTTCGAGCCCGGATAGTGGATCTGGAGGTAAGCTTCAGGGCAGCAGTTTTGGACGATCTCATTGGAGATGTCTTCCTGGGCCATGATTTCCTCGTGGAGCAACAAGTCGCTTGGGACTATAGCGGTTGCATAATCCACCTGGGGAAAGAAAGACGTGTTTCCGTGAGTTGGAGAAATCCAGTAACTCCGGTCACCGTAGGAGTGGACTTAACAACCGCAGGATTACCCGAAGGAGAGTACGGTATGCGGGTCAAAGAAGTCCTTTGCCAATATCCGGAGGTTTTCTCCGGAGAGGTAGGCAGAACTCGGGTGATAGAGCACCAGATCCGTCTCAAGGATCCAAATCCGGTGGCTCTAAACGCTTACGGGTACTCCCGAGAGAAAAACGAGGTTATTGCCAAAATGGTGCGAGACATGGAGGAACAGGGTTTTGTTGAACCTAGCATATCTCCATGGGCTGCACCGGTTGTACTCGTGAAGAAAAAGGATGGCTCACGTAGGTTTTGCGTGGACTATCGCCGTTTGAACATGCAGACGGAGTCGGACGCTCACCCGATGCCGGACCTTCATGACATGGTCCGAGGAATGGGTGGAGCGAAGATTTACAGCACCATGGATTTGAAATCAGGATATTGGCAAGTGGGTCTCTCACCAGAGACACGTCCACTCACGGCGTTCAGGACCCAAAGAGGATTATTCCAGTTTAGAGTAATGCCTTTTGGACTTAAAAACGCCCCCGCCACATTCTGTCGCTTGGTAAGCGAAGTCTTTCGTGGGTTAGTTGGTAAATTTGTGTTGGTTTATTTGGATGATATTGTGGTATACTCGGAGAGTCCCGAACAACATCTAAACCACTTGCAGAGAGTCTTGGAGCGACTCCAGTCTTACGGTCTGACGTGCCAACCGAAAAAATGTACATTCGGGGTGGCACACATCAAATTCCTAGGTCACGTCGTGGACGGTGAAGGAATAGACCGGGAACCGGAGAAACTGACGGCAATTCAGGAATTACCGGTTCCAAAGAAGACAAAAGACGTGTTACGGGTGTTGGGCGTTTGTGGTTGGTACAGTCAGTTCGTGCCACACTACGCCGAGATCACAGCACCACTCACGAGTCTGTTGGCAAAAGGGACCAAATGGCGTTGGTCAGAAATTGAGCAAGAGGCGTTCCGGAAGTTGAAGGAGTCTTTGGTGTCCGCACCACGGCTCTGCCCTCCTCTTCCGGGTAAGCCATTCAATCTACAGACCGACGCAAGCGAAGTCGGAGTTGGTGCCGTGCTCTTCCAGCGGGGGGAGAGTGGTGACAGGAAAATCATTTCCTACGCCAGCAAGAAACTCAATCCAGCACAGGGAAGATACTCGGCAGTCGAACGTGAATGTCTAGCCATAGTTTGGGCGGTTGACAGGTTAGGGCCGTATCTTGAGTCTGGTAAGTTTATGTTATTCACAGATAACGCGGCACTCCGATGGTTACAGCAAGCTCGCTGTACCAACAGCAAACTAACGCGATGGGCGCTACAACTCGGGGCTTTCGATTTTGAAATCCGGCACGTACCCGGAGTAGAAAATGAAGCAGCCGACGCGCTATCCCGTTGTCCGGTGGGACCGAATACAGTGGACGAAGAATCGTTGGAGAACAATATCCACGATCCCCCAGTGATTCGGCCCGGAGTGTCCGGAGGAACTTCCGGAGTCTTCGGTGATCTGTCCGGCGTGTCCGGAGGATCCGGTGTGGGTGTCACCCAGTGTGGAGCGATCCAGCCGAAGAGAAATGACGGAAACGTCACATTGCAAGCTGTCCGAGAGTGGCAACAAAACGACCCGAACATAAGGGAGATAGTTACTAAACTCTCCGGAGATGGTGCAAGGTTCGGTCGGCTTCGGAAGTTGTACGTCATCCGGGACAAGGTGTTGCACCGCCACCCACGATCCATCGCGCATGGAGAAGAGGGGGTGGTCGTCCCGGTAGACAAGGCCCAGATTCTGCTACAAAGGTTTCACGACCACGAAGCAGCGAATCACCCAGGGTGGAAAGAAACGTACCGAAGTATAAAGAGTCGTTTCTTTTGGGCCGGTATGCGTGAAGCAGTGCGTAACTACGTGCGGGCGTGCGACGTCTGTGCACGTGTAAAACCACTGAATCGCAAACCAGAAGATCGTATATGCACCAGAGTCCCACGGCAACCTTGGGAGGTGCTGAGCATCGATCTTATGGGTCCATACCCACGGACGCAGCGGGGTAAGACAACGATTTTGGTAGTAACTGATTGTTACAGTCGCTGGGTAGAGGCGTACCCCCTAGGAAAGGCGACGACCAAATCGATTGTGGATACATTCGAACGGGAGTTGTTCCCACGGTTCGGGTACCCGAGGGCATTATTGTCAGATAATGGCCCGCAGTTCGTGTCCAAGGCAATGGGAGACGCACTAAAGAGGTGGGGAGTGGAAGGATGGACGACTCCAATATACCACCCACGTGCCAACCCGGTAGAAAGGCAAAATCAAGAACTGAAGAAAGGGTTCCGAACCTTACTTGTTGATAAGCCTCATCATCTGTGGGATGTCTACCTGCCGCACGTGTTGTTCTCCGTAAGAAACAGAGAAAACCGAAACACCGGACAGTCACCGGCCAAAATGATGTTTGGCCGGGAGATCAAGGCCCCCGGAGATTGGCAGCTCGAGTTGGCCGAAGGATCTCCGGACGCGGGGAAAAATGATCCGGAGTTGTCCGAAGCAGTGCGGAACCCTCCGGTAGAAATCGAAGGTTCCCCGGTGGAACCGGATGATGCTACTGTGGTAGAGGGGGGTAACCCGGTGGTCTCCGGCCCCAAAGCTCCCAGTACCCATATACCCCTAGAATCCCCGGGAAGAAGTAATCTGACAGTCGGGGATTGGGTATACTACAAAGCGCATCCGCAGTCAAGTGCGGAGAAGCGTTTTCACGCGGGGTTCGCCCCGAAATGGTTAGGTCCGGTTAAGTTGGGTAAGCCACTAGGAACCGGAGTGTTCTTGACGGAGGGTAAACACCCTACTAAGTTACATGTCTCAGCGATGAAGCTAGCTGTAGGGCCGTCAGAGAACACTAACTAATCATACATTGTTTCAGATGGCAGAACGATTAAACCCTCCACCACCAAACCGCAACCACCGGCCATCCCGCGGCATGATTGCCGTCCACGTGGAGAAGCTGCGAGCCATGGCCGGGCAGCTACTCCGAGAAGCCAGGAGGCTTTCCGGGGATGGACCGGAGGACACGGTGAGCGGTTGGTCGGCTGAACGCGCGGCCACCGCGTCATTTGGCCGGATCCGGGCTAGCCCGACGGCGTGGGCTCTGTTCGAGCGGGGGTTCGCCGAGGGACGTCGGTCCACGCGGGCTAACACCCCGCAGCCAGAAGTTGCCAGGACTCGGGCAGGACCTCCCGCGAGGGCACCACCCCGCCGAGCGGCGCCGGCGTACCAACGCCACGATGTGCGGGATAGGCGGGGGCGGTTTCAGCCTCAGCCCGCAGTGCAACCGCCAGCTCCGCAGCCGGCCCAGCAGCCAGTAGTGCAGCCACAGCCTGCAGAACCACCGGTGCAGCAGCCGACCCAGCCGTCACCCACGCCGCAACCGTTAGCTCCGCCAGCCGACTCCCAGGAGCGACAGCTGGCCATCGTGGAGCAATGGATTGAGTCCATGGAGGTGACGTCCGAGGCCCCGCACACCGACCCGGAGTAGTCTGGTTGTTCGGCCGCGTCTCGTGGACTCGGGGGGGAGTATGTCGCGGTCGTTATCGCAACGGCCGCGGTGTCTCTATCGACGTCCGCGAGATCGCGACCGACAACCGGTCTGGCCGCCGCCTGCGGCGCGGCCGCCGGCCCGGCCAGCGGCGGTGGCGACGGGTGGCATCTCTCGCCGGACCGTTGTAAACGCCGCACACGACGGAATAGGAATAACGTGATTGTAATTATTTGTGCAATATATAATTTTATTCTGTGAACGTGCTCGTTGTCATTTACATCCTTTACAAACCGTCCACACACCTACACTATTGTGTTTAATAATTTTTAATTTATTTTTATATAATTTTTACACAATATTACAAAGGTACTTTTCTTGATTTAATTGAAGCAAATTGATCAATGACATCATCAAATGAAATTGTCTTCACTATATCTTTTTCTATAGATAATATAGCCATTCCGGTGAGACGATTTTGACTTATTGTTGATCTTGGATAATTTTTTATGATTTTCAGCCTGCTGAAACTCCTTTCACAAGAAGCCGTAGTGACAGGAATTGTTAAAAATATCCGTAGTGCTACCTCTAAATTCGGATATAAATCTTTTAAAGAGTACTGATGAATATGCTTTAGAATATCTAACTGAGTTGCATTCTCAAATTTTGTCATTAATAATGGAGCCTGATATTTGAAATTCTCAATTTCAGAATACAACTCTGCAGCATTTAAATCTTGATCATACTTCAATGCCAAATCATTAACCCAGAGTTTTATTTTTTCAGACTCTATAGTTGATAATAAGTTACCAGACAAAAAATTAAAATCAGATGCGATTTGTGACATTTTTTCAAACCTTCAACATAAACTGGATAGAATAGAATCTAATGCTTCATAAATCATAACATTGAGCTCTAAATTTATTTTCTGTGTCTTTTGATTCAACAGAGGTACGTTTGTTAGTAAATTCAGAAGTAATATTTAAGGATTTGGCCATATCTTTTGCCTCACTCAGACATTTTTGAAAACCATTTTCCCTTATTTCTTGAATTGATTTTATTAAACCGTTCAACATTTTAACAGCTACATCTATGGTTTGGTTTTTAGTTTGCAATGCAATATTGACGTAGTCTATCTGGTTTAAAACTATATACTATAGATTAAGTAAGCATAAAAATTTTAAATTTACTTGGTATAATAAATGTTTAGCACCTATCTTTGTATCATTATTAAGTTTAGAATCCTCAGACAAAACTAAATCTTATACTAAATCTACTAAATCTCATACTAAATCATACGTATAAAATATAAATACATATAATTCATATGCTCTGTCCATCCTAAAAGTTATTAAAATAAATATACCTTTTTCAAATATTACGTGAAAAATATTACATGAGTAGTATTGAAATTTGCGCCCCTCTCAGAAGTTTTAGAATTGCGCCCCTGGCCCATGCCCTCTTGCCCTGCTCTGAATACGGCCCTGCATCCGAGATCCGAGTATCCGACATCAGCTATCAAATCATGACAGAATAAAATACTGTACTGTAAACAAAACGTTTTGGCGATATACCAACCATGTAATTAATTGAACAAACAATTCTAATAACCTGGTTGCTCAAAACTGCATCGCAAAAACACGCTTTATATTGACAAAAACCAAAATACAAATCAACAAACATGCCCGATTAACCAATAGCAACCAATATAAATTATAATACACTATCGCGCCACTATTGTATTTTTTTCATCCAGATTTCCTACTTTTGATTTTTGATTTTCCTAAATTTGCTTGATTATGCACCCTTATATTAATATCAAAGCTAGACACTAACTTAACTAATTAGTTTTAATTCATATTAACTTTGTTAAATAAATTATATGTATAATAAATTTAATTTATATTTTAAACTAAAAAAAAACTAACTTCTAAATAAGTTAAAAATGTTGGTAATAATTAATTAACTTACCTTTAACTAGTTGAAAAAGTGACTTGCCCAGCTTTAATTAATAGGCAGTTCATAATTAATTCTTATTCACAATAAGGATGAATAAGTATGATAAACAACAAAAGAGTATTGCAAATATATGAGTGGAAATAAACAGAACATTTTTATTTTACATTTAGCAAAAACCATGATAATTTGTATTTAGTATTAATAATTTTATATATTAGTTATATACCATATTTGTAAAATGTAAATTTTAAATTTCAATAAATATAAATTGTATGAGCATTTGAATAAATTTTTATAAATATTCACATGACATTTTAGTCGTATGTGATGCATCACATAGGACCAAAATGTTCGGCTAAAAGAGCATTTCTCAGACCATAATTATTATGTTCTGGCTGGATAGCATCTTCTATATCCACTAATTCGTTGGTTAATAACTGTGTAATATTTTCAACCTCATCTGGTGGTTGTGGGTCATTTGCCAAGCGAGCGTTGTTGTGAAGTATGGCACAGGACTGAATAACTGCCATTGATGTTTCCATTTTCAAACGGAGTCCAAAAATGAAGACATGGAATCTTCGTTTCCAAACTCCAAATGTCCGTTCCACCATATTACGAGTCCTAATCCGAGATTCACAGTACAATCTTTCAGCCTTTGTTGTTGGATTTGCTGTAGGTAAGTCAGTCATATTATAATGCATAGCCTGCATCTACCAAAATTACACAATCTTTAAACTCATGGAGTTCCATTTTTGCCCTGAGGCTGCTATTTGCAAGAATATTGCTGTCATGTGCTAAGCCGGACCAACGTGCCACACTACATCCAAAATTCGGTACAACCCGATTGCCTTTTTTACTTTTTAACGTTTTACATTTTTTATAACACGATTGCGAACGAATGACGCTTATCAGAGAATTTGTTTTTTTTTAGCCGAAAAACGAACGATTGTGAACATTTTTATAGACTACGTTGCCAAGTTTATAATTTCTGAATATGTTTTGTTCGGGAATTTAATTAAAACATTTTTTTTTTTTTAATATAAACTATTGGTATTAATAATACAATTAAGACAACTACTCTTCGTTACAAACTAAAATAAAATTATACAAAATAATATGTAGTGTTTAAAATTTTGATTAATTAAAACTATTTTCGTTGTATAAATATTAATAAATCTATTACTTTTGTAAAGTTAATTCAATTAAAGATTTATCTTTTTTGGTCATAGAATTATGTACATTGTTTTTAGAATTAATTATTGTCAAAGTTTGAGCTTGTGTTTATTTTAAAACTGATATAACTACATATATTGGAGGATGGGGGCTATAAAACTGATCATTGTCCTCCAGAGCTCCTATGAAAGTAGTAGCTCTCTTAGTAGTTCTAAAAAAGAATTATAAAAACTTAGAGATTTTGTATTAACTGGTAAAATTAAAGTAGGAAGGAACAAGAATTTAATTTAAACATTTTTTAAATCATATCATGGATTTACTGAGGGTTTTTGTGCCCAAAGATATGGTGGAAATAATGAATCAGGTGCAATATATGTCGATGATACCAAATAGTCTATAAATACATGACCTTCTTCCAGGCTGGGGCATTCGGCTATAATTGCTAAAAATGCATCTTCAATTTCGTCACCGGGTCAAAATGGTAAGCCAAAAAATAATTTTAGCCACTTCATTGTTATAATCTTTGTATGCATTTCTCAAATTTGAATCTCCATTAATCTGTAGATATTTTATTAAAAAAATGCTTCAAAGTCGTAAAGTGTATTAATTTATAAATAAGATTAGATTTTAAATACTACCTTTCTCCACCAAGCTTGGACTAAATGAAAACGGCATGTTACAATAATCACGTTCGGAAATATTTCTTTTGCAGCTTCATGAGCTCCAGATTCAAAATCAAAATGCAGTTTTTGAACATCGAAAGTTGAAGTAAAAAATTGTTGACATAGTTCCAAAAGATATTTCCACATATTCAAATAAGTTTCTTTCGTTTTATTTGCAAGAAAAAAATATACAATAGGCATATAAAAACCATTTGTGTGAGAATGTATGGTATAGTGTTGTAAAAAAATGTTGGTGCAAAATCAAATGTACCATTTCCAAAAAACTCATTTTGCGTTGTCATCAATTTTAAAGTTCCTTTTGTAGTTATACAAACAAATTCGTCATTTTCCGGAAAAAAAACAAATTGATATCAGTTAAACAAACAAAAATTATTTTCTACCAGTTTTAGTTAAGAAATTTCTTCGGTTAATGATGTGGGAAAAACAGGATACATTTTACGTCGCTTATCGTACATCACTTTACGCACAGATTGTATATCATTATATCTTATGTTAGTCTGATTATTTTTAATTAATTCATTTCGTACAATTTTTAATGGCCTGGTAGAAATATTATCATCGGCTTTTCTCTTACAATTCTCTCTCAAGAATTTTTTTTTGACTATTAACTAAATGTTTATGCTCACCAGTTGACTGATTTAGAGACTTCTTGTCTGCAGTTGTTCCAATAATTGCAAATTGCAATGCAATTTTTGTTTGTACAGACCCATTTAATATACCCATCTTTACGTTTTCTAACAAAACAGTATTTAAAATTATTTAAGATAACTAACTTCTTGCCTGATTCGGACATAATTATTTGAATTTCCATATTGAAGAGAACGAAACGAAACGAACACGATACGAATGAATCACAAATAATAATGCACTACTATTGGACTATACGAATCGAGCTGGTTTTCCATCAAATTAATAAGGATTTAATATTATGAATATTCTACATCGTACCTATCTATCTTATCACCCGGCGTAATAGCAAAAAACCCTTATATTACTATATGATAATTTTTAAAATTATGATTTAAAAATTTGTTATTGACAACACCGCATGATTAAAGGCAGGTAAAAACGTTCGCAATCGTGAGTTGGGTACCGGAAAAGGTCAGTTCGCAATCGTATATTACCCTCGTTAACTAAAGCTTGTAAATTTAGGGAAAAATACCCCTTTCTATTTCCATATTGTTCCCCGTATTCTATCGATAGTGATTGTAATTTTATATGTTTATAATCTATTGCGCCTATTACTTTTGGAAAACCGGCTAAGCCATAAATGTCCTAGACCCTAATAAAACCTGTATCTTGAAAAATTGGAGAGGAGAAAAGAATTCAATAGGGTTTTCTTAATATTTGATGATTTTTAAGAATTCTTTGATATGTAATATATATATTAATTGTATGCATCTATAACTATAATTATTAATACAACAGTATGGTATGAATTATAAATGTGACTTGTTACTGTTACAATTGCTTGTCGTGTATTTTAAATATCCATGATTTTTACCGATTATACTTTCTGGTTACTAATTTTTTTTAGTGGAAGGCAGAGCCGGCGCAAGGGAAGTGGCACCTGTGCACCTGCACAGGACACCGGGATAATGTAGGGCCCCGCGAAAACGTGCTTACTGCAGAAAAGAAAATCATTACTGAATAAATATTATATAATTATGAAAAGATAACATTTTCAAACTACAGTTGAAATAATAGTTCTATGATATCCGTACGGTTATACGTGTAACCAAACTTTTATTTAAAATTCAATTTTATATTTCTACAAAAATTTAAAAAATCCTCAAAAATGTTTAATTATATTTAATATTTACGATACAATTAATAGCATATAATTATATAAACAACGTAAATCGTAATTAGGTACCTACTGTTGTGCCGTCAGCAGTCAGCACTTACGTTAACAGCAGTTTACTGACAACTCGCGGGTGTGTGGGAGCAAAATGATGAAGGTCCGAATATAGTGTGCCAAAATATAGTATTTATAATAACTAATAAAGATGCAATGCCGAAGACGTCTCTTCAAACAACTGCCACAATAATAATATTAAAACAATGTGATATCAAATAATTATATGGTACATAACAGGCACACACAGGTGCACAATATACAAATAAAATAGACAACAAAATACAATAATTATAACATGTATTAACGATACCGCAGGTCACCGTTGGTGGACGTCGGGATCCCACGAGTCCCAATTCGCAGTATCCTCAAAATGACATGTACCCGGCAGAGACAGCTGGGCAGGTAAGAGGTCACTGACCTCTCGCAAGATGCGTCACAACGACGCGACGTAGAACTGACGAACGCCCACGGTCACGGCGAGCAATACCGGACGGCGGTGTAAAAGAAGTAAAGAACACGACACGGTTTTACGGGTGGCACGAAAGGCAAGCACCCAAACGGACTCAACCACGAGGTTTTGTGGTCAGAGCACACGAACAAAAAAAACGGGCTTGAGTCGTAACGGAACGGACAGTCCGACCATAGGTAGAAGACAGTGACGGCCGAGCTACGGACAACCGGTGTCCAGCGAAGCCGGTCGCCAAAAAGTTCGCGCAAGCGCACTTCGGCGTCGGCACGTCAACGGGATGACAACAAGTGTCAAACGGACACACTGTTCGTAATAAGTGCGAAAAGGCTCAAGTTCGAACACCTACTGAATTAGTTACTTAAACGGTCTAAAGCTAAACTAGCTAGTAAAATGTAGGTACCATAGGCGTGTGCATACTTAAATTTCTATTGTAATAATAATTATTATACATTTAAACATGTGTATTGCGTATACAAAACTGATTTTGTATTACAAGAATTATATAAACCTTTCTTTATAAAAAAACTTTTATGTAAAATATACAATCTTTTTACACTTATCATTTATCAATGTTATTTATTTTATGAACCTAACTATCTAAGTCCAAAATATAACTCTTTTCCATCAAACCTATTCCTTTATATAATGTTTACTATATGAATATTATATTAGTTTAGTTAGACAATAACACCGCCATATTATACGGTAGGTACAGTATTGACTGTAGACGTATTATATTCAAAATATATTTATACTTTATGCCGACATTTTGGTTATAATTTTACTAGGTATATAAGTATTAAGTATAATATAATGGTCTCTTAAACGTAATTTGTATACAATTGAATGTAAACAAACAGTATTGTAACGAAAACTGTTAAAAACTATATTAAAGTTCAAATGTCAACAACATTTCTCAAATAAAAAAATTGCTAATCATTTTGCAGTTAAAAATTTAAAAAAATTTGAATTTGAGAATATCATCATATTTCTCTATTAATAAAAAATATATTGTTATCAATTAGTAGTATTTAAAAAAATAATCAGTGTCTCATATCGGTTTAATACATTTATCGCTAGATGGCGCCAGTCAGTAGTTCTAGAGCTGATATAGGGATTCAGTTAGACGGTATCCTTATCACAATTCGATGTGTATCCAGTATATCTTAAATCGTGGTAACCATGGATCCGATTCACTCCTTATCTAAACTATACTCCGGCCCACGAGAGAGTATTACCGTTTTGCGCATGCAGACTGACGGCGGAGAGTAGTGTTGCCAGGTTTTCATTATTCAATATCGCAAATATCGTATATCTAAATCGCCCAAATCGCCGCCATCTAGTGGTTTAAAAAGTAGCCCAAATCGCCAAATTTAAAATTTTTTCTACGAGTTTTCTATGATATTAGTTTTTCTTCCAAGTCTGGGGAAGTTTAAAATATGCATGAAATAATCTAGTGATCATGCGACATGCCTGTTTATTTAGTCATGAATTAAATTAACTAAGTATTACATTTTGTGTTGAAATAGCTCAGCTAGTAAACTATTTCTTTAAAATACTAATGAAACATTCAGAAATGATATGAATACGTATTTAAATCAAGGATTTGACACTGGAATCAAACCGAAAATAACAAAAGATTCTATTGAAATACTAATAGAATTGAAACCAAAAATCATAAGTATAAAAGATTTTTAATTTATTTTAATGGAATACAATAATAATATAATAAACTGTTTCTTAAGTTAATGCAATACATAATAAGTACAAATAAATAATAGTAATGGTATAACATTATATACAATAGTTAAATATCACTTGTACAATTTACTGTTGTAAGAATAAATTAAAAAAAAACTACTAATCTTAAAAAAAATAATACCGTCGGTGATAAAGCAATACTACGTAACTCCAAAAAAATCGAAAATGACTTTTATACATCAATTTTTTCAGAAAAAAATAACCTATATTTTGGTGTAAATACCTCGTAAATATTCGTATTTCCAAAGAGGTTATAAACTGTGAAGTAATATCATGTAAATCCATTATTAAATTGTCTACTGAAATACCTCGTATCACCGTGATATCAGATGTTCAACCAATATCACGTAAATCCATTATCAATTATTTTGATTCAAATATCTCGTATCTCCGTTATTTCAAACACGGACAAATAAGAAATCAATGTGATTCATAAATTAATCATAATAACGAAAGACAACGGTGGTTTATTTGTTTTATTCTTTTAATTTAATTACCTGACTACAATTATTTATTTAGTTTTGTTTGTGTCAAATTGTATTAAATTAATTTAAGCTAAGCGTTATGAATGAACAAGAAATTGACAAACTGTTAAAACAGTTTGAACACGACGGTAATTATAAAAGTTAAATTTTTTTAATTCGATCTGGAAAAATTAATTCTACATAAAATAATATAATATTTTATTTCAAATTATTAGAACAACAATATTATAGTGATCAAGATGAGTCAACTAATGATACTCAAATTACTGAAAATAACAATTCTAATGATGGTAATTATTAATTTGTATTGAGGTACCCTAGTATTTAAAACCTAACAATATTTTTCTATTTTTAAATGGTTTTGAAGGTATTATTAGTACTGATCAAATCATTTTTGTAACACATGAAGAAATTGAAAATGAAAACTCACAGATTTCTAATCAATTTGTTACTGTGGAAAACCAAGATGTGTTCACTGATATACAGATTACTGAAGATAATGATTCCAATGATGGTAAATTTTTTATTTTTAGGTATCTCATAAATATAGTTTAAGCTAACAAAATTTTTTTTTTTTTGTATGGTTTTTAAGATGTTATTAGTA